ATTTAATTTTTAATTTAATGGGAGATTTTGAAGGTGAATTTTGTTTATAAATTGATTAACTATTCAAAATCTTTCAATTTAAAAAAAAATTTTTTTTTATTTACTTTACTTTTAAATAATTATTCTCTTTCTTCATTTGACTTATGTGACATTTAGTTTGTCTATGTTTATACGTCATTTATTTTTGATTTTATTTGTTGTAATTTATTTTTAAATGAAAATTGTGGTATTATTGTTGATGTTCCGCTCTAATTAATTATTTTGTTACAAAATAATACATTTATGTAAGTAATTTATTATAAATTTCCATATTCTTAATATTTCCTATTCTATATTCGTACTAATCTTTAATTCAATAAAGGCTTATGTTTTTCTTATGAAAATAATTTTAAAATTATGTTTTGGAAAATACAAGCATTGTAAAAGATAAAAATAATATGTATGAATGTGATGAACATTTAATGTGTACTTAGGGTTATTTTTCATTATATTTAGTTCAAGGAAAGGATTACAAATTAGTTTAAAAAATTATGTTATTATTTCACGTAAAAAAGCTTCGTAAGAAATAGGTTCGTAACGCTCTTCTTTAGTCAAAAAACAATTTTTAAATCAGTTGTGGTACTGTTGGAACTTCATATGATTTAAACAAGAAATAAATAGAATTTTATTTTAAAATAATTACCAAAATTAATTATTGATATTTACATATAATGAAAACACAAGCATTTTCATTTGTGGGAATGACTGGTACACATAGTCAATTTTCGTCATTCTATCATTAATACTAATATGAGAGTTCGGGGAACTTGTGATTATTATGACTCGATAGAGAGATTTGTTGCTTTAAAAACTACCATTTTTCAAATATTCTAAAACGTAGTACTTCGATTGGAAATAAACTATTTTGGTATTGAACTTTTCAATAACCAATGCAGCATGTATTTCAATTACGTAAACAATTTGAGACAATATGAACTATTAAAGCATAATAACGTTCATTAATGAATTAAATTACCCAACTTGTTATAGTTTTCGTAATTGTTTTTGGAAAATCTTTCCTCATTCTCTATTAAAAATTTCCAATCTCTTCAATATCTGAATTGATCCATAATATTACATTTGAAATTATAAAATCCATAAGTTTCCCCAATGCTATTGCTCTAACTAAATTCAAAAATTAAAAAAAATCTGTATGAAAGTTGTAAAATAAATGACATTGTGGGAGAAAATCATAATTTTTCTACCTAGACTAGAGAGAAGTAATAAAAATTTCATCTTTCGTACGGTTTGTGTCTTTAATAAGTGAGTATAATGAACAAATTAATGTTTGAAAAAATTTGCTAGGGAAATTTTTCCCAGTTACAAGCTGGGTATGAACTCTACCAATTCTAAAAGAATTTCCAATATTCACCAAATATTAATTTGAAATCATTAGTATTTATTTAAAATACAGGGTCACTTCTCATGTTTTCAAAATACACGTTCACGTATATTAAGCAAAGTTTATATTTTGTATAGCGTTAAAAACCCTAACCCACACTAAAAAAATGCAGTTTTCAATGAAAATAAAAATTCATTCTAAAATAATTAACAAAATTTTAAAGAATTTTTCGTTTTATTTTTTTTTTTCTGTGTTTTTTGTCATTTTAAATTTTAAGATTTTTGCAATTAAATTTTTTGTTGATGTCTTTCTAATTAAAAATTTATAATTTATAATTAAAACATTTAACTGGATTTATATTACAGCTGAAATGAATTGAATTTTAAGCTTTATTATAAAGTAATTTCAATAAAAATCATGATTTTAAAGTGTGGTATGCAATGAAAACCTCAAATATTAAGGTTAATGCTTTGAGTGGCTTTCACTTTTTTTTTGTCTCTATGATTAAAATTTTCTCATACATATATTCTTGTTAATGGTAGTTTTAGTTAACAATTTATTTATAAAATATCAAATAAAATTGATATAGCAAGCAATAGAAGAATTGGTATATTTGATATTAAATTAATTGTAGGCTGGAATTTTAACCAATTATCCGAAAATTTTTGACACGAACATAGTCAAAAATTAAAATATGGCAATACCGAATTTAAAAAACCTTAAAATTAGTCATTGTTGTCTTGTTTAATTCAGTAAAACACAAGTGATTAAACGATGATAGTGTATTGAACCAACAGCTTTTTAGGGGAACAATAGAATTTGAACATCAAAGAAATTTTATTTCATCATATTTTATTAAAAATTTTAGCTTAATGTTTCTATATATATGTATATATTTATTAGAATAAAATATGTATTATATTAATTTTATTTACAAATGTTTAATTTAAATCTAGACACGTTATGCGTATAACAATTACAAATACAATACATAAAATTACGAAAGAGAAACCATGTGTTTTCCAATATTTACATTTAAAAATAAATTTGAACAAGTGAAATCATTACACATCAAACAATTGTGTACGGAACACACATACATTTTGACATATTTTTCACTTAAATTCACAGATTTCGTTTAGAATAACTGTGTTTAAGTATTGCGAACCCTTTAAAATCATACTATTTTCAGTTAAAACCAGCAAATACATTTAATCAAGTATAGAACTATAAAGAAATCTCCCTCTGCTTGCCAAATTTAAGAAAATTTTATCATCTTCTTTATTTATAATGAGTTTAATATGACAGAAGATTGATTTCGTTTTGTATTTCCAGAGAACTGCTGACATCTTCAGTCAAACTTTGTTAACAATGGTATTGAAAACAAATTTTAATATTTTAAAACTTTTATGATCGTTTTTAATTGTGATGTCAAAAGATTTAAATATTTATTTAAGCTACAATTCCGAAAACATTTTAGCTTTTAAAAATTCCAAATGTCAAATTTTTCGATATTTGATTGTTTGACAAAAATTACATTTGAATATGATATTTACATTATTCCTCGATATTTACTGTCATCTACATTATTTTATTAATTTTAATCTTTACAAAATTAATGTAGATCTGAGTGATTTTTAAGCTTTTATATTTGGCCATAAGCAAGTTAATTAAATACTTGTAAAATATTCTTATACCTACTCTCAAATAATTAATTTTAATAGACCACATTTACAATTGATAAATTATAACTTCATGGGGTTTCGTTTTTTTGCAAATTAATTAATTTTTATTATTATTATTATTCAATTTTTATTTAAAATAAAATTAATAATAAAAATAAAATAAAAATTTTTAATAATATAATGTACACGAAAGTAAATGACAATCAATTGTGTGTCGATTTGAAAGGTACAGATAATGATGTGTATGAGTACGCACCCATAAAGAGATATGGTGTCGGTTCCAAATATGGTAACTTGTATACAATTTTTCTATTATTGTGTTGCATATGTCATAATCGTATATAGCAGCACTTGAGACATGAAAATCTGTCAACATAATATTATTATATTATAATAATATTAATATCAGCCTATATTTAAAAGTTTTGGAAATATTATGTAATAAAAGAATAATAATATTTACACCCCACTAGTTTAAACCTACAATTAGAAATTTGAAAAATAAAAAATTGAATAAAGAATTTATTTTTGAGAGAAGTGTAAATAAAAAATTTGGCAGAATGTTCAGAATAAAATCTATTCCTAATTAAAATAATCACGTGTGTATGTACTCAATTTTATAAAATATTACTGCAATGCATTAAATTAATTTACAAATCGAATAGAATTTTTAATTCAATGCCAATTTAATTGAAATGCAATCGAATGCCTAAATTAAATATATAAACAATTTTGGTGTGCTTGTATATACTTTATTTTTCATAAGAAATTTTCAGAAATAGTTTAGCCTGTACTGCCTTATTAAGAATACTTGGACTACAAATTAAATTCTATTGGTTCTTCTCATTAAATGTGTGTTTTAAGAAAATGGGTTGTTACAAATTTTATTTTTTAAACATAATTTTATAGCTATTCATATATAACGTTAGTTTATAGCGCAGTGCTGTAAATTTTATTAAATTACAATAAATTACAATTACATCGTTATAAAATTATCAAAAGATTAAAAAATTTGACATAACACTTATTGACAATTAAATTTACATCCATGTGAATTCGATTAATAGTATGAATTTTGACATTAAATACTGATTCCCGCTATACTACTTGAATAAAGAGGGAATGAGAAATTAAAGTATGTACTTGAGTTTTTCTTGGGTTTCATAATACAGAAATATAAGATTTTTTAATTTAATTTAAAATTTTGCATGGTCAAACGGGGATTAAATTGATCAAAGTAAATTCTTATTTATTACGAACAATTAATTAAAAATAAGATTAAATGGGTTAACCTGCATTCGGGTATTTAAGTTTTAGCCAGGTTTAGAATATTAGTTTTATTATTTACTAACTATATTAGCCTAACCTATAAGACAAATTTTTGAGATTTTTATAATTTTATAGCACAAAAATATCAGAACATAATTGAGATTCATAATTAATTCTACAATATTTAATTTAATGTTGACAGCCTCTCGATTTTTAAGGAGTGATCGTCTTAAATTAAAATATTAATTGTTTTAAAATATGGTTATAGTATTAAAAGATATTTAAAATCATTTATTCTTTATCATTCCCTTAAATAATCTTTATGTTTACAGCATCTTTATAAAAATCATTTTAAAGAAATAATTATACTAAAAAAAATGAGTCTGAATTTTTCAATTAATATGAAGAAAAAAATGTTAATTTAAATGAATTTTTCTGTTTTGTTTTGTATTTTAAATAATTTACAACAACTACGGTATTTAATTAATAAAATCCTTGTACAAACTGGTCTTTATAAATAATGGGCTGCACTTTATATATAAATATGTGAGAATATTAAAAATCTCAATTAATTTTATAAGCATAACTCCCTTATTACAATAACACTACAATGTACACACAATTATTTATATATATATATACAAGTATAATTAAATAACTAGTTTTTATTCTAAATTACGATCATTATCAGCATTTCTTATATATTCTAGTTCTTCTTCAAATGTAAGTTGTTTCTCTGGTAAATTTTCTGGTAATGACCATATACCATATGGTTTAACATGATAAATTAAATATTCACATATATACATTTCAGCGGCTGTTAAATAATGAAATGAAACTGCTTTATCTGAAACATATCGTAATCCCTAAAATAAAATTAAGAACAATTAATTTATATAACAAATGGATAAATAGGTGATAAAATTTTTATTTATATTTTATGTATTACCGAACCAAATTTATAATAACTATAATCCCATAACCAAAAATCATGTCCAATAATATCTGGTTCTAAATGATTATCTAAACTTAATGGATGAAATCTTGATTTTCCTTCTTCATCTCTTGTATCACCAGCAATTACACCAACGGCATTTAAACATACACCAATTTCAACATCTTCAACTGATGCTCCAACACGACAAATTCTTGAATTTTTAAATGCAATTTCAACAAGACGTTTAACTGCTTCTCTACTTAAAACATAACCAGCTCCACCAGACATATAAACCTGAAATTATTGTAGGTATATATAAAATAAGTAAAAGAATAGAATTATCAAAGTTCGCTGCTTCAATAATCTTATAATTAAAGTTGTAGGAATATCATATAAAAATTCATTGAAGTTCATTATATATTGGTGTGATTGGCACTGTGTTTCATACAACGAATTTTAAATTGTTGTAAAATCAAGGAATAATCAAAATAAATGTTTAAGCAATTAGCTAATCGCAAAAGCACTTAAAGAATTATGAAATATTAGCAGCTTTCAACTAATGATCTTAGAGAGGTTCTACATAAAAACCAAAACCGTGAAGACTACTAAATTGGCTCACTAAAGAGCGGAAATTTTTATACAAATTCTCAGATTTAATCGCTAAAACATTCCAACTATTAAACCGGATCTTACTTCAACCATTGTTATATAAATTGTAATAAACCAAATATCCTTACCACACTTGGCATTTGAAATTTACTACCAAAATAAATTGGTGTATCAGTTCTATGTTCGCTTAACATAAATCTTAAATTTTCCATAATAAAATACCTAGAATTTAAAAATTATGAGAATAAGGATAACAAATTAAATTTTAATCCCAACCGAAGACACGAGTGAATGAAGGTGTCAACTACAGTTTTTGAAGTTTCGAGTTAATTAACCTTCTTTCAAAGCAAAATAATTCAAAACTGTGACACAACATCTTTTAAAAAGAAGCTATCTCTTAAACTGAGTCGTTTTGTGAAAAACCGGTTTTTGCATATGAAATATAAACATATAAAACTTCTATTTATGTAATGAACCCATTTTCGTAAAAATTGTATATAACACCTTTATTCACTCGTATCTTCAATTATACTTACGTATCATCATCAGCTTTAACAAACCAATCATATTCATCTAAATGATTTTCATATATATAAGTGAATGCTTCTCTTGTTTTATTCCATAAACCATCACGTCCTTCAGTTACATTTAAACCAATTGATCCTAATTCATCATCATATTCTGTACTCATAAATAATAATTTATTACATCTTTTACCCCATGTTAATTTAACATGTTGTGCTTTTGTTTTATGATTATCTGGTGCTGTCATCACCCAACATAAAACCTTTATTTCATCATATAATTTATCAGCTAATGTTGTATTTTCACCAATATGCTCATGTTCTGTTATATTCAAATAATCCATATTATTTAATAAATCATTTTCATTTTGTAATTTATTTTGTGTATGATATGCTCTACTAATTGGTGTATAAATTATATATGAATTATTTGAATTTGGTAACATCATTAAAAAATATCCTAATGAAAATCCAATTAAAAATCCAACAACTAATGATAAAAATAAACGTTGACTTGATAATACTTTTGTGCCTAAAAATAGAAAAAAAAATCTTAATTATTAAATAGTAAGAAAAAAAAATATTATTTAAAACTTGAATTAATTTTTAATTTTAATACAATCTAAATATTTAACCCTGTACCGCACACAACCACTTCTAGTAGAATTTAGTCCTATTATTAGAATTAAATAACTTTGTATTTGATCTTATCATAAAATTTTTGCTAATTGACTCATTTTTTATTTCACAACATTTTTTGAATTCTCAAGTAAATTTCGAAGTAAAAAATTAGTAAGTATGTACTTTTTGCAAAAAATTAATTTGTCCTTTTTTATTAAAGCAATAATTCGAATCGGGGACTTTGATACATTCCTTAAGAAAACCGGTTTATATAGGTAATAGCGCGCTAAATAACGGCCTGATTATCACAGTGGCAGCACTTTTTAGTAATTTGAGTAGAATGGATCTGCTGCATTGGTAACGTCAACCAACCAATCAAGCAAATCGAAGCAAAATAGAATATTTTCATGTACCACTGATACTCTGTTTAAATCACTGAGTTTTAAGAGTTATTTTTAATATTTTTACACAGTCGCATATTAAATTGAATCAACAACCTCACACATACATTTGCAATAACTTATAAGCAATTTTATTACTAACCCCTTCTTATTGTAATTATTTAATCTTTTAACAATTTTCTCTTTATAATTTTCTATAAATTCAAATGCAAATAAGCTCAAATAAAATTAATATTTTAATTTTGCAGAAATTAATTTCGGATCAATGATCGCACTAACTGTACTTAAATTTGACGTAATTTAAAATCATAGTATTGCCAACCTGCCTACTACACTTATAATATTATCGAAATGAGGCAACACTACAATTTATTTTGTATATTTACACACAAATTTATATTTTAATAAATGTTCAACAAAAGGCATGTGTTTTTCACAATTATTATTCACAATTTAAATATTTTTTTGAACTTTAACAAAAAAAAAATATAAATAAAAAAATGTTGGCATTTTAATACTCTTGCTTTTTTTATCGATTATTTTTAATTTCAAAAAGCATCATTAATTTTTTATACAATTGTATTTTGTAATTTTTATATCGAAATTATAAAAATGCTGACGTATTAAAATATATTAATAAATTAATTTTTAATTAAGGACATCATTAAATAGATTTGACCTTGAAAATTATTAAAATTTGTCCTTGTATTTAATTGAAATTTTCTTATTTATAAATTATCAAAATAATATATAGTAGCAGTATAACACTTTTCATTTCAATAATTAATCATAAAGCATAACTCTAATAATTTTTTACATAAACTTAAAAAAATCACAAGAAAAAACAAAAAAAAAAACCAGTAAAGCAACTTATCTTATACAATTCAAATATTTACCATTATTTCTAGAAGGTGTTAAATTCTCTTCATCCGATGGTATACTGCCACTACCGTTGTATAACATTTTCTATGATTTTATCGTTAATTTTTTGAATTAATAAAGAACAGTTAAATATATGGTACCAAAAATTTTTGATGTTAATAGTTAAACATTTAGTTATTAACTAAAAAAAAAATGAAAGAACAAAAAACCTTTTAATATTTTTAATTTAAGAAATAAGAAAAGAAAAAAATAAAACAAAAAACGAATACTTTACTGACAGAAAAATTTCCTTGGTTTAACAGCATACTAGAAATGCTAATTTTTTTCTCTTTTTATTCTTATATATTTTTTTTTTTTATTTTTAAAATTTATTGATATTTATTCAAGAGATAGCACAAATATATAAGAGAGGATATATTTAGCATTCATTGTAAGCACTTAATAAAGTAGGGAGCAGCTACACATTTAGCTATATGTACTAAAGATATATATATATATACAATGTACAAACACCAACCATAAATACGATATTGTAAATATATAAAATTTATTTTAACGAAATATTGAATACCTTACGCAATTATAATGCACGATGACATCTTCTGTTTTATTATTATTATTATTATATAGTAAAATAATAATTATTATTTTGGATTTTAAATAATTTTATTATAGCCATATATGAGTACAGCTTTTTATATTATTATAAAAATATATTCCGTTAAAAAGTTTAAAGAAAAAAAATATTTTATGTGATTTGTACATAATCGATTGCATCGTGCATTTTCTGACTATTATAAATTTTAATAAATTCGGAGTTTTGTTAGTTTCTTAAATCCTGCAATCACCAATCTCAAGTAATTTATTAATTATAGTTTCCACAGACATAGTCAAAATCAGTTCCGTCGTAGTTAAGATACACGCAGAGACAGATTAACAGACTGATATCTCGCTAAAAATATTTTTTTTTATTTGTTTCTATGTGACGCATATAATTGTATTACTGTTAAAAATTCGAGATGTGAAATTTAATGGCGTAACAATACCTTCCCTACCGTCTTCAAGTTCTACGATAACATACAGAATGTATGACGTTTGAATTATTTCGCCACGAAATAGGCAATTTTTTTAGATAAATTCCATTTTTTGTTTCAAACAAAATGTCGTATATTTCAAGGCAGTAAAAAGTATTGGTCGGAAAAGGGTATTATTAACTATGTGTTTTTGATAAAAGCCTTCATCATATTGAATATACGCCAATTCGTGAAGAAATTGCGAAATCTTGCCTATACTCTCTACCTCTTAATCATTATGAAGCATGATGGGAACAATTCCTAGTACTTAAATTTAGGTCTGCCCATAAGTTTACGATCCTATTATTCATTCTACATGGTAGGATAAATTATAAGTTATTCATAAGAATAGAAAAATTTTAAATTATTTCGTTTTTAATAAAATCTCAAATATACCAGGCCGACCAAAATTACCGTATGAGATGACTTTAGGGAATAAAAGAGAAATTTTATGTCCATTTCATTATTTTTTTAGAATTATATTATAAACGGTAAAACATAACACCTTATCCATTTAAAAAGCAAAAATTTCATTTTTCGCAAAAAAAATATGAGCGTGCCTTTTACGTATAGATCTACATTATAATAAAGAAGATAAACGAAAAACATATTTTAGCTTGTGATAAAATACTCAAATTATTGTTTATTTTCTTCTTTCTCTTTCAAATCTCATTCTTACATTCACATGTTATACAAAATTTTTTGTCAATATTATAATTGATTAAAATTGGTAAATAATATTTAAGCATTTTGCTATACGAGCTATGTATGTAGGAGGTTTATTTAATTCACTTGTATATGAAATCAAGCAAAAATATTCCAATTTCAAGTCCTTGAAAATTAAAAAAAAAAATCTATAAAATTAAAAATTTTTTTTTATATTATGAATTTTATTCATAATGAAGTTATTTAAAATAAAAAAAAAATTATTATCGAAAAAATTCCTAATAAATTAATATTCAAAAAAATTAACAAAAAAAAAACAAAAAAACAAAAGAGAAGAAAAATCCGGAGAAAACACATGTTTTGCAGACAAATAGAATAGATATGTCATGCTGATTGCTGATATTTTATGTACATAAATATATTAATTACGTATACCTATATATGCGTGTGAATAAATGAGAATATGAGATAAAAAATTTTATTCTCAATCACAATGAAGAGAGAATGATATGAGAAATTTCGAAATATATTTTGCTCAATATGTTGAAATTGTTCTTTTGTTCCCATAGAATAAAACACAGTTATTTACGATTAAAAGATGGGCTTTAAGAAGTTTAATAGAGCGCTCAGAAATTACCGAACACGGACATTTAAAATATAAAATAAATTGTAATATTAAAAAATAAAGACGATTTTATATATAAAACATTTCCCGTTTTTATATATACATAAAACAAAAAAAATTGAAAGTTGGAACTTTAGTTCTAAATAATTACAATGTTTTATAAGAAATAATTTTCTTATTAGCAAATAATTGTAGTCTTAATTTTGGGAGGAATCTTAAAATGATATTTTGCGAGAAATTTATACTTTAGCATTTAAATTAAATTTGGTTGCTAATTAATTTTTTCAGTCTTTCTTCAGATGTTCGATGGAGCTTATATTGTGTCGAAAAAGTAGGAGTACGAAAAATTGCATTATATAAACTTTAAGACAGGTGGCGTTTTATTTAGATTTATTGGCTTTTCAAAAATTTCCACTAGTAATAGAAAAAAAATTTTGTTGTACAAAAAAATTCTTCTCAGTCTGTTAGACAAACAGATTTTGGCAGTAAATATTCTAATTATTCTTCTAATCTAAGGTGATTTTTTTCTAAAAAGTTTTTGATTTATTAATATTAAACTCATATAGAATGGAAGAATTTTCGAATATTTATTTGAGATTGAAATTCGTAAAATTAATTGACTAATTTAAATAGCTAGAAATGCTAGAAATAATTTTGTATACTGGCAAAGGTCTTAATTGTTGAACTAAGGGTTTATTGCTTATTTTTCGCAGTTTAAAAATTTAATAAATCCTATATGAAAAGAACTTATTAATTATTTAGCTTTGTACAACATTGGAATATCGAAAAGAACTACGAAGGTAAGAAACTTGTATTGACATTAAACATATACAAAAATATTAATTTGTAACACTTTTATGTAAAATATGAATTTGTCCGTTTATTTACTAAAAATATTGAAAACCAGCTTTGTATTGCAAAATTACCTTAAGTCAATTACGATTACATTTAATAACTCTATCCTTTTCAGCTTCCTTAACTATTCGTAATTCATCTTCAATTGTATATTGCTCGGATGATATATAAAATGGAATTGACCATATACTATATGGTCTCAAATGGTAAACCAAATACTCTAAAGTAAACATAGATGCTGGAGATAAATGGCTAAATGACACAGGATAATCAGAATTGTAATCCATTCCCTAAAATTACAATATGGCGGATTATATATATGGCGGTTAATAATTATCTTTAATATTAATTTACAATGCCGGTTTTATAATAAATTCTATCATAAAACCAATTCTTTGTATTGTCACCTTCCTCAGAGAACAGATGATCTTCAAGAATTAATGGAAAAAATCTTGTTCTACCTTCAGAATCACGTGAATCCCCATTTATAACATTAATAGTTTTAAAACATTTTGCTAATTCATGTTCGTCAAATTGCCCTTTGGTGATGGTAAAACAATTTCAATAAACTATCGGATTGCTTCTCTGCTAACAACATAACCAGCACTTACTGAATTATAATCCTAAAAAAATATATACTTTTAATCACCAGCTTAAATTTTTTCTGTTAACGTAGATTTATAGAAAGCCAATGCTAATTACAAAGGCCAAAAATATTTTAATTTAATTGAAAATCTTCGAGTCTTATGGAAAGAAATCTTTGCTTATACGACATTTTAATGGGTGACGACAATATATGAACAAAACTTAGATTCCGATAAAAAGATGAAAGAGAGTAGAGAGATGAAATACGTGTAGAGCTCTAAAGTCGACCTACTTTGATTATTTTTAAATATAAACATTTCTGATGTATTCAGATATAGATTTCAGGTACGGCCTACGACAAATGGAATTTCGAAAAGTTAAATTCGAAAAACACACGAGAAAAATCTTTCCTACAAAACTTATTCAATTTACTTCTAGAAGAGTACGAACCACTTCCACTGTCTGATGTTTACTACCGAACCATATTGGTGTGTCACTGTTATGTGGACTTAACATATATCTGAGATTTTCTACAATAACATAACTGAAAAAGAAGACTCATTTAATTTCAATACCATATTGACTAAAAGAGAATTGCAATTCTTACGTGACTTCATCCGCCTTTAAAAAAAAATCATATTCATTCAAGTGATTTTCATAAATGTACTGTACTCAAGTGATTTTCATAAATGTAAGTTGAAATTGTTATTCCCCAATATTGTGGGATTTTTGGTGTTACATCAATTGCACCCAAGATGATGACATCTTCTGTACTAATAAATATTAATTTATTGCATCTTTTACCCCATGTTTGTTTAACATATTTAGCACGTGTTGCATGATTCTGTGGTTCTGTTCTAACCCAACATAATATTTTCACCCTGTCATATAATGTTTCAGCAATTGTTGTATTTTCTGATTCATGAACATGTTCAATTATATTATTTGATGAAACTTCTATATAATCTTCAATTTGCATTGATTTATGATACAAATAATATTGATAATTTGGATCTGATGTGATAACAAAGAAATAACCAATTGATAGACCAGCTATAAATCCAATATTTAATGATATAAACAGTCTTTGACTATATAGTACACGATTATCTATAGAAAATATTGATTAGAATTTATAGAAGATTAAGGTACTTACATGTTACTACAGTTACTAAACTCTCTTTATCCGACATATTGAATTTTTTTCTGACAAACTGTTATAGCTGAAGTTTTCTTATAAAATTTTCCTCGCAGATGTTTTCCGATAAAATGATGAGCAAAAACTAAATTTGTAATCTCAATATTTCGAAATTTTTCAACATTGTTGTTTCACTACTCTTGCCAGGGCTGTTTGCTGAAATTTGATTGTTATTTGCGAGGAAAAACAAATATTTTATAAAAATTTGTTAAAGAGAAAAATTTGTTTATTTAAAAAAGTCTGTTACTTGATTAAATATTTTCGAAAGTCAATCTATAGTGATGTTTTTGTTATGCTTTTTTTTAAATTAAAAAAAATCGAATTTAAATTGCAAAGTATAAAATTATTCTCAAAAATCGAAAAAACTGTGCTCAAATAGCAAAAGTTGCCAGAATGTTCACCTGCCAAGTTTTCGATTTCTACATAAAAATGAGTTGTCTCGTCACAAGCAGCAAATGAAATATAATTGCCATATACCACGAAATTTTTAATGACTACATCAACAACTCTGGAGAAAATTCGCACATTTCTCTAAATGAAATTTCACGGAATAGTTTTACAATATTTATTCTTTTATCTCTCTGGTATTTGTCTCATGTAAAATCGGAATGCCTTACTTAGAGCCACAGCCAAGCCCATTTATATATAGAGTGGCCAACAAATAACGCACACTGCCAGGTGGGTTAATTTTGTTAAATAATGGAAACGGTTTTTTGTTGCAACTTCTTTGAACTCAAAGCTACATGGATCGGACCAAGGGCACAATAACATATGACATGTAAGACATATAACGGAATACAATTTACTAAAAAAATGTTGATAAGTGATAATCAACATTAAAATGTTGATAAAAACATGTCAAAACGCCTATTTTATCGACAAAATAAATTTTAATGAAATTTAAACAAAATTTTGAAGTTTTTTAATTCAGAACTATACTAATGTTAAATTAATTTCGTACTACAAATGACCGTCTCATTTTTTTCAATATCTTAATAGAATTTGAGATGTGGACTTTAAAACAAATGAACCCCAATACTGCCAAACTAGTCCAACCTATTATTTACTCATTTTAGTGTACCTAATCAGCAATTGATGTACTATTTGATATATTTGTGAACCTATAGTAGCAGAATGACAAATAGCTTATAAATATTTTCAAATTTTTTACAGAACAACTATGATTGCTGTTGTCAAATATAAAAGTAAATAAGCTTCCCTATTGCAGTTTTTAACACCAAACAATTGCATCGCAGTATGGAATTGGAAAATCATCATTACAAAATTTTATTCAAATAATTACAGTTTTATGAATGAAAATCATTTTTAATAAAGCTGTTCAAAAACACTTTCCTAATATAAGTAGCCCTTCATTTTTATACAATGATTCTATCTTTTTCAGCTTCCTTAACTAATCTTAATTCATCTTCCAATGTATATTTTTCTGTTGGTATATCGAACGGCATCGACCATATTCCATATGGTCTCAAATGATAAATCACAAATTCTATTGTAAACATAAAACCTGGTGATACATAATCAAATGCCACAGCATAATCAGAATTAAAATCCATTCCCTAAAATTGCAATATAAAATTATTTTAAATATTTTGGGGGTATAATTAAAAATTTTTAGGACATTTTCAATTTATATTTACTTACAATACCAGTTTTATAATAAATTCTATCATAAAACCAATCTTTTGGTCCATCACGTTGTGATAACAAATGATCTGCAAGAGCTAAAGGAAAAAATCTTGTTCTACCTTCAGAGTCTCGTGAATCACCATTTATAACATTAATAGTTTTAAAACATAATCCCAATTCAAAATCATCATAACCATAACCTTCTATATTACAACCGGGTTTAGGTGATGGCAATACATTTTCAATAAATTGTCGAACTGCTTCTCTACTTAAAACATAACCGGCACCACGTGAATTATAATCCTTAAATAACATTGTATAAACATGATTTTTAGTTAACAGAATTTTTATAAACATTTAAGAATATATGGGGTATAAAAAAATATGAGACTGAAGAGGAATTTATTATTTTCAAAGAAGATCTATTGACTTTTCAAATCAGTAAGGTCTTTTGAAGTAACTATATTGGTAAGAGTCTTAACAAATCGTAGACTATGAGTCTAAATCTTTTCAAATTTTAATTTTAAAAAAATTAACGCATATTACACATTAAAATCCAAAAATTAAAAATATTACAGGCAATGACTTAAAAATTGCTCTAATGTGGTATATTGTTGCACAATTCTACATACTGTAAGTTACAATTGCACAATTTGTGAATGGCTATAGCAATGTTAAGAGATTTAGTACGAAATTGTTTCTTAAATAAATATTAAATTTGTATACCAACCGCTTCAGGTGATTGATGCTTACTACCGAACCATATTGGTACGTCACTATTATGTGAATTTAACATATATCTGAGATTTTCTACAATAACATAACTGAAAAAGTAAAATCATTCAATTTAATATCAACACCATATTGACTAAAAGAGAATTGAAGCTCTTACGTTGCTTCATCCGCCTTTAAAAACCAATCATATTCATTCAAATGATTTTCATAAATGTACTGTAAAGTTGAAATTGTTATTCCCCAATATTGTGGGATTTTTGGTGTTACACCAATTGCACCCAATTCTTCATCATCTTCTGTACTAATAAATATTAATTTATTGCATCTTTTACCCCATGTCTGTTTAACATATTTAGCACGTGTTGCATGATTTTGTGGTTCTGTTATAACCCAACATAATATTTTCACCCTGTCATATAATGTTTCAGCAATTGTTGTATTTTCTGATTCATGAACATGTTCAATTATATTATTTGATGAAACTTCAATATAATCTTCAATTTGCATTGATTTATGATACAAATAATATTGATAATTTGGATCTGATGTGATAACAAGGAAATAACCAATTGATAAACCAGCTATAAATCCAATAATTAATGATATAAACAGTCTTTGACTATATAGTACACGATTATCTATAGAAAATATTGATTAGAATTTATAGAAGATTGAAGTATTTGACTTACATGTTACTACAGTTACTAAACTCTCTTTATCCGACATATTGAATTTTTTTTCTGACAAACTGTTATACTCGTAGTTGAAATTTTCTTATAAAATAAAATTTTCGTGGCAGATGTTTTCCAATTAAATGATGAGCCAAAACTAAATTTGTAATCTCAATATTTTGAAATTTTTCAACATAGCTGTTTGCTGAAATTTGATTGTTATTCTTGAGGAAAAACAAATGTTTTGTGTACAAATTTGCTAAAGAGAAAAATTTGTTTACTTAAAAAAAAGTCTGTTATTTAATTCAATATTTTTAGAATTACTCTAATATGTTCTTGACATTTGCCAAAAAAAAAATCGAATTTATTACGCGCTTTCAATATTTTCTATATATGTACATATTTCATTAAATCGATTAAGTTCAAGTAAACTCCATTTGGTTAGTGTTTAAAAATAAAATGAAATTTTTCTTGAAAGAAGTCTTAAATTTTTCTAGTATTTTGTTCTGTTACTCATTATAATAAAGAGATTATTCTAAGGACAACAACAATTAATTTATTTATTATGAAATCCTGGTCGACTACCTTCAAGACTCAAGTACATAATAAGCTTGCAACACTTTGATTAATTGCCTTAAATTCACTTTGGATTCCATTACAATTTTCTCAATATTTCAAAAAATTTTATAAAAAGTTCTTTAAAAAAAAAATTAACACTTTTACATCTTTTTTTATTTTATTCAAAATAAATATACGCAAGTAAAACTGAAAATCAAATTATATTCACTCTATCTTTTTCATTTTCTTGTAATATTCTTAATTCATCATCTATTGTATATTTTATATCTGATAAATCCATTGGAAATGACCATATACCATAAGCTCTTAAATGATAAATTAAATATTCTAAAACGAACATAGATCCTGGTGTAACACTACTAAATGATACTGCATAATCGGAGCTATAATCAATTCCCTACAAAATTAATATACATGTACATATGTATGTTATAACCCAAATTTTATATACTTACTACACCAGTTCTATAATATGATTTATTAAAAAATTCCTCTTTTAATTCATTATCTAATGAAAATAAATGATTTTCAAGATCTAATGAATGAAATGTTGTTCTAAATTCTGAATCTCTTGAATCACCCGGTAAAACACCAATTGTTTGTAAACATTTACCAAGTTCAATATCTTCATTACCATAACCATCTAAATTACAATTTTCTGGTGGTGATATAGATGATAATAATTCATAAAAACGTTGAATTGCTTCTTTACTTAAAACATAACCGGGATCATTTGCCATAAAAGTCTGAAATTAATTTTATAATTTTAATAATTTATAATAATTTTTGATTGAATTGTCATTATGTGCCTATATTTAAAAAAAAATTATTGAACAAGAAAATATTTGAAATGAGCAATTTTGGGAAAATCAAATTAAAATTTTTAAAAACCACGTGATTTTATTAAAATTTTTTAAATTAATCATTGTTAAACCGTAATATTAAAATTATAGAAGTGATTAAATTCATTATAGAGAAATTAGAAAATTTGTCGAACCGAGTTTTTACATGTACGCGCACACATACTTGTATTAATTAAGAATTGATTTTGAATGTCAAAATTTGTACCAAAAAATTTATTTGACATTCCATTTATATAATTTCAAAATTATTTATTTAAAATTTACTCTAAAAATGTATTTATTAAATATTACTGAAAAATAATACAAAATTAAAGTGAACGAATGTGATTTCATGAGCACCATCACACGTAATTGAATTTCTGTCTTACATTTTCAAATTATTTCAAGCCTAATAAGCTTCCTAGTCGATTTCTTTGCATTGCCATGCATTGTCAATTTAATTAAAATTATATAGAAATTTTTCAACTTACCACATTTAAATATTGTTGTTTGCTACCAAAATAAATTGGTGTTAAACTATCATGTGGATTTAACATAAATCTAAGATTTTCCATAATAACATATCTAAAAAACAAAACAAAAAATATTAATCAATTATAAAAATTAATTTAAAAAAATTCCAAAAATTTTTAATTCTTACGTATCATCGTTTGCTCTTAAAAACCAATCATATTCATTAATATAATTTTCATAAATATATTTTAATATTAATATTATTTTAGACCAATTTTCATTTTCTTTATTAAAATCAAATTTTATATTAATAAAATCATTATCGTCATCATTTAATAAATCATTATCATTTTCATTACTAAAAAATAATAATTTATTACATCTTTTACCCCAGGTTTGTTTAATATATTGTCCTAGATTTTTATAATTTTCATATTTTATTGTTATCCAACATAATACTTTAATTTTATTATATAATAAATCAGCCATTGTTGTATTCTCTTCTTCATGTTGATGTTCAATATAATTTCTTTCAGCAAATGTCAAATCATTTTCAATTAATAATGATTTACGATATTGTATATATTGATATTTTGAATCAGATGTTGTAACTAATAAATAACCAATTGCTAAACCGGCTATAAATCCAATTATTAATGTAAAAAATAATCGTTGAACATTTATATGACGATTTTCTATACATGTATATATACAAATAGAATTTATTTAATTAAATTTCAAAATTATTAAATTAATTAATAAATATATACCAGTTATTGTTCTAAAAATTTTATCTTCATCTAAAATCATTTTATTGTTGACGAAAATTTAAGAAAAAATTTTTAAAAATCGACTTTTCTTGAACTTGGAAAAAATTTACTAAAATGTTAAAAGTAAAAAAATTTTCATTAATTTTTTTTTAAATTCATGTTCTTTGTTTGTTCAGTATTTTGAAACAAATAATAAAACATATTACGTACATAAATTAATCATTTATATTTACAGAAGAGAATTTCGAAAATTTTTTTATAAGCAACGTATATTGGCATTATTATTTACGAAATTTAATATTTATTTAAATTAACATACATTCATATATTGTATATACATAAATGTAGAGTGTTATTAAAATTTCCGCGTATATTGTGTTTATAAAAAACACAAATAAAATCATAATTTTAATAATTCAATTTATAATTTTGTGTTAATAATTTTCAAATAATTGATTAAATAATTAAAAAACGATATTAACCCATTAAAACCAAAAAAAAAAATTACAATTAAAATTAAGTACCTTGTGTTCGTTATGTTCTGTTATACAGGTAAAAACAATGTTTACAAACTGTATAGAAACAAATATCTGTTCGATTACAAATTTCATAGAAAAAAAACTTTATTGAATACAAGTAAACGCAAGAAAGAATTGCTAAAAATCAGAACAAGAAAATGTTTGTGATTAAAATTTTCACACATTATTATGAAAGATGGCTCGCTGCTACCATTGTACAAACTTGCTACTTCTTAATGTTTCTAAATTTATGTAAACTTGTGAAAGTTTGGTGTCGATTACATTATTTGTTTTTGAGTTGATTGGACGGACGGATGGATGGACATATGTCTAAATCAATGCAGAATTTTACTCATTGATAAGCAAGAATATATATACATGTCCATGCCGCAGATGAGGCAAGTGGTTACAAACTCCATACCAAAGTTAATATACCCTTCAAGAAAGGTGCAGGGTATAAAAATCATCTATACATTTAAAACATCAGTAAAATGACATAAGTTTAAGCATAAGTAATTGAGAATGTCATCACGCTTTTAGATATTTTCGATATAATAACAAATCTCTTTCAAAGTGAGAAAATGCTCAATTCTAGGAGCTTTTGTTGTAATATCAAAGGCAATTATAATGCACAAAGTGAATGAATTCTTACGATAATAATAAATCTTCCTTTTTGGGTCCAAAATTTGATTTACACGAAGATTTATGAAACACAAAATTAATAACTAAAATAAGCCTTTTAACAAAAAAAACCCTTACTATGAAAAAATCTTTATATAAAACGATTTAGGACTTGTAAAATAAATGAAACCGTTTACGATATTTACTTTTTTTAGAGAAAGAATAATTTTTTTGCTTGTTGAAATAGCAAAATAGTTTTGAACATATTTATATATTTATATTCCCATTATTAAATATTTAATTTATAATTCTAAACTCGTAATTCAAAAAATATTTCATTTATTTTAAAAATTAAAAATAATTATCAATTCAAAGTAAAACTTAATGTTCCAATATTACCTATGATAAAGTAATTAAATTCATGGCATTTCAATTAAATGGCAACGTTTAAAATTTTTACTTAATTCGACTCATTAAAGTTAAAATTTCAAAGCAAGTAAAAAAATTAAAATAAAAAAAGTTATTTATATTTTAAAATTAATGTAGTTTAACTTTGTGACAATTGATTATATCATTATAAAAGCATTAAACAAGAAATTTATGTAAAAATATAATAGAAAAAATGAATTTATTTTCTTTTAAGAATTTCGTGTACTGCAATAATAAAATTTTAAAATACAATTAAATATTACAATATTAATAGATGAAGATAATTGCTAAATATTTTAATCTGACTAGCTATTGTCCTTTTTCCGAATTAAAATCGAAATTATTTTATTTATCGCTAAATTTGTTCAAATTAAGAAAAATATTTTCTAAAAATGCATGCATTTTCTATAAATTACAAAAATTTCGGAAAAAAAATTGCATAAATTTGGGCGAATACGAAGAAATTAATTATTAATTGTAACAAACAACACATACCTAGATATTAAACAAACAAAATTGTATAATGTATAGTGTATAGGACTGTAGGTATTTACTATTTACAAAATAAGACTCCAACTTAAATCTTAAAAATATCATTTTTTCATCATTATAGATCTACTGGGAATTAATTGGTATTGTTCAGTATTGTTTTATTTTAAAAAAAATCTTTAAATGTATTTTACAACTTGCTAAGATTTTCAAACATGTTACTTTTGTAGGAAAGATTTATTGAACAAATTACCTTTGAAAATTACCTTTTGTAGCTTCGATATATCGCACATATCTCATATTAAGATCTGTATTAGAACTGAATTTTGAAGTGAAAAATAATACATTTAATATAAAATCCTAAGATCTAAAATAAAATTTAAGAAGAAAAAAATCTTTAATAATAATTTGCGAAATATTGAAACAAAACAAGCTTTCTTATATTTTAAATAATATTTTTTCAATACCAATAATTATTATTTTAAATTGAAATTAAATGCCGAGCAAAATTTATTAGCATTTGTTCATACTATCAATAATATAAATCCTAAAAATTTAATATTTTACCCAATTTTGCTTATATAAAATAGGGAAAACTGCAAAATTAATTTAATAATTAGAAGCACTTATTGAAGCAAAGTAAGATATATTAAAGTTACTTTAATTTTTTATTTTTACCTTAATTTTATATTAAAGAATTTGCTCTTTTCTTTCGTTTCATATATTTTTGTTTTACAGAATAGTGTTCAATAAACAAAAGCCTGGGATAAAATAAATAAAAAATAACACGTTATAATTTTCATTTTTTTCTTTTATTATTATAATTAAATATTTTCTTTTTTAAATTTACAAAATTTGAAAAAATTCTATGATTGACTATGAAAATAAAAGATTTGACGATTTAAAACTGTTTTTAAACTGGGTTTTTAATTATTTTCAAAATAAAAACAAAAAAGTTTTTATTGTTTTAATCTAATATTATTTAATTTGACTACTTCTTTTTATTATTTATTAATAACGTTCTTTTCTATTAATTTTAGTTTTTGTAATTGAAAAATTTCTATATAATATTATATATATGAATTAAATTTGAATATATTATAATTACATACACAAACTCAAATCAATTGAGTTGTAAAATTTTAATATTACAGATTACAACTTTTCAGTACTTATTTTTATTTGATTTGTAATAATTAATCTTACAAGCAACAAAGCAATTTTTTATTTACTTAATTTTAAATGACTTAGTTTATATAGTTATAATTTGATTATTTTTATTTACTTAACTATCAATAATATTCTGTGAGTTTTAATTTTTTTTTTCACAGAGAAAATAAAAATGGCCATATGTTACATGTAATTTATATACTAATATAAAATAAATCATAAAATATAATGAACTAAATGTAATAAACTAAAATTATAAACAAGATATTTGAAAAGGAAAATTGTAAATTTTCATTGCAAATTATTGAAAATATTCAATAGTTTATGTGAAAGAAATAAATAAACTACGTTAAAATGAATTTTGGAAAATTTTTCAAAAAAAAATTTCAAATATATTTATCTATTATGCCGATATATATTCTTAAAAATTAGGCTTGAGTTCGTAAAGCAAAAAATTTACGAAATTTTCACTTAAATTTACTTGCATGTTCTACATTCATATACATTTTGGTTTCTGATAAACAGAAAAAATTTTAACTTCATCGTAATTCTAAAAATTTGGAAAAATTTCTTATAATCATTATCAAATATCTTGTATAAGCTAACGAACATAAATCTAAAATTTTTTATTATTAGTCTTAGGCAAAAAAAAAAAAAGCAATACATTCAAACATCATCACACATATTACTATCAAATTAAATAAAAATACTTTAAATTATTCCTTAAAACTTTAACAAAAATTTCATATTAAATTTACATCAGATATAAAAATTTATCAAAAAATAAAATTAAATTGTGCTTTGGTAACAAAATTAACTAAATCTAATCATCATTTTATGTTTTATCATATTTTTTGTTTTTTGTTTGGTTTGGATTGAGTTTCTAAATTTTTGGATTAAATTAATGGGATTTAAACTTATCTAGTCTTTTTAATTTTTTTTGGTTTTTATTATTTTCTTCTTTTTCTTTTTTTACTAACTTTTTTTGTTTCTTTATCATCATACTCGTCTTTGTGATCATTTTTATTTTTTTCATCGCTAAATTTTAAAATAGGTGCTACTGATCTATGTTCTAAATCATCATGAACAGATAGTCTTTCAGGTAATTGCTCCGGTGTAAATAAAATTCCATATGGTCTTAAATGATATATTAAGTAATCTAAAACATACATTTGATTTGGTGATACATAATGGAATGATACAGCATAATCAGAACAGCAATCTAATCCCTAAAAATATACACAAAAGTACAAAAAAAAAAAAATAAAACTATTAACTTCGTATTTTAGAAACTTTCCAATATCAAAATAACTACACAAAAATTACCTCATCGGTTTCATAATAGATATAGTTCCAATACCAGAAACTTTTATCAACATGTCCTGGTATTAAATGATGTTCTGGTACAAATGGGAAAAATTTTCCTCTTCCATTAGGATCTCTAGAATCTCCAGCTAAAACACCAACATTTTCAAGACATTTACCCATTTCAACATCTTCAGCACCGCCTGCATCTTGACGACATTTATTTTTGTCTGTTAATCCAAGTTCTACAAAACGTTTTAAAGCTTCTCGACTTAATACATAACCAGCTCCACCAGACATATAACCCTAAAAATTAAATAAATTCATTGAAATAGTTTTGTTCTGCCACAATTTATAAACAAATTCAAAATTTACTTGTTTAACAAATTGTTTAAATCTGCAACCGAAATATATTGGTGTTTCCGGTAAATGGGGATAAAGCATATATCTTAAATTTTCTACGATAACATATCTGTAATTTATTATAACAATAAAAAAAAAATTATAATCATGTTATTTAATTTCTTTTCAATATTTTTGATAGTTACGTATCATCATCAGCTTTTAAAAACCAATCATATTCATTTAAATGTTTTTCATAAACATATTTAAATGCTTCTTTCGTTTTACCCCATAAATTATTACGACCTTCTGAAACTGGTAATGCAACAGCACCTAATTCCTTATCTTCTTGTGAACTCATATATATTACTTTATTACAACGTGGACCCCATGTTCTTTGAACATGACGAGCTTTTTTCTTATGATTATCTGGATTTGTCATTATCCAACATAATACTTTTACTTCATCATATAATTTTGTTGCTATTGTATTATTTTCATTTGCATGCGTATGAAAACCAAAACTTTTTTCAGGTCCAGCAGCATCAATTAAATCATGACTATGATGTGGATCATTTATTGAATCGGAATGACCATGTGCATGACTATTATAAAGTAACCATTCAGCATGTCTACTCGGTGATGAAAGTATAAATAATTCAGCCATACAAAAACCAACAACTAATCCAACAATTAAGGATACCAATGATTTTCGATTTGCAAGGTTTCTTGAAGCTAAAAAAACAAAAAATTAAAATTTAAATTAATAATATTTAAAATTGATTTTAATTTTAGATTTCTACCTTCATAAAATGCTCCACGGCCGTTAAGCAGTCTATAATCTCCATTTGTATTTGATTGCATTTTTGTTTATATAATAAATAAAATCTTAATAACTCGTGTAGAGGTTTTTTTTTTTAAATTTTTATAAAATATTAAAAAACTAAATTAATTAGAAATCTTTTAAAGGAATCTCTACTTTGGTTGTATTTCTTTGGTAATAATTTGTGTTTCCACCAGAATGTTCTTTCAAAATCGTGTTCCTTATACATTCAATTTTCATTTAATTTTATGTTGCAAATATTTTTATCTGTAAATATTAAAAATTAAATACATATTAAAAATTAAATATATTGTTAATATAAAAATTAAATAAAAATACAAAGTCAAAATTTTATTGCAAAAATTCTGAAGTGTTATGAGATAAAACAAAGAAAGGCAAATTCTAAATAAAATTAAAGCTTTTCTTATACCTAATTTAGCTCTAATTTTATATTCTAGTTTTAAGCATAAAAATAAACTATAAATTACAATTTCCGATAAAATGACCTTTCGGGAACACATTGAGAACTGCATATAAGTAATATATACGCATGGTTGTATGTATTTGGAATAGTAACAATTTTTATATGTTTAAAAATTTTTATATGCTATATGAATATATAAATTATAAATCAAGAGTTCACTTAATAAAATAGAATTGATGATAAAAAAATTAATTAATTTAATTAGTGAATGAAAAAAAAAAATTCAAATTCATATATACCGAGACTTGGGAAATCTGATTTAATTGAAAAGTTTTTAGTATTCATATTAATGACAATTTAATTAAAGAATAAGATTTGCAATTAAATTCAAAGAAAATTCAATTTAAAAAAGGTCTACATTTCAATTTAAAAAAATTAATTTTAGTTAAATTGTAATTGGATAAGAGAATAGAAACATGTATTTTAATAATAGGAATTATTGAATCTAAGAATTTATTCAGAAATAAAGTAATAAATAGCTATCCTATATATGTAAATGCATATTTAATTTTTTATGTTCATAATTTTTAATTTGAATTTAAAAAGAAAATTGAAATTGAAAATTTTTATCTATTAAATTTACTTATTTTTTTTTTTAATTTTTAAATTAACTCGGTAAGAAACTTAATATTACATGATTAATTATTTTTAATGTCCTAAATACTTATTATAATTTGCTACAAATATTAAAGTATTAAAAATTAATTTAAATTTTGATTAAAAGTTTATGAACAAACTTTTATTGTAAAAATTTCACTAAATTATTTTAAAATTCTTTTATTTAATTATAATATTATTAAATGCTTTATAATGATGAAAATTGTATTAAAATGTAAAAATATGTGGGGAGCAATTACTTTAATGAATTATCTAATTAATTTTTTTGATTTTATAAATTAAATTTTAAAATGAACATGTTTCAAATATGTTTAACATAAGTAGTTTTTATAAAACATACATATAATTTATAAAAAAACAAAAGCTTATTAAATAATTAATAACAGAATAAATAATTTCCTAATACTTGTATATCAATTACGCACATTATAAAATTTATTATGAAAAAATGATATCAAATATTATATGCTCAATTTATTAATTTATGATATTACTTATATTAAATTAAAAATAATTAAAAATTTATTAATATCTTAATAATTTTTATCTAAATAACCACAATTAATGTATATGAAGAAAAAAAAAAATGTTTTAATTAAAATTCTTTCCAAAATTATGAATTCGCATTTGTCAATCAACTTTTAATAATACCTCCTTGCAAAATGATAGGCGACAGCAAATTCTCTTAAATTATTTAACGAGACCAAAACAATGACTAAAAATTAAAAAAATTAATTAGATAATTTTGTTCTTATAATATGAAAAATTTACTTACATTTCCAATTTAATGTTAAATTGATTTTTTATGTTCGATTACCATTTTACAAACCGATCGATATTTTCTTATTTTTTTTTTTGGTATATTTTATCTTGTACTCGTCTCTATTATCATTTATTTTGATAAATTTTTTTTATATATGTATGTATTTTTCCATCTACGTCTTGTTTAACCAAAAATTAATTTTTGTCTGCATTTCTCTTTTTATCTTACATTTTAATTGTAAATTTTATTATTTTTTTTTATTTTAATATTTTCCAAATGGCAAGTGATAAATGCTATGAATTTTCTTTGATTTGAAATTATTTTGTTTTATTTATGTTCTTAAAAAGTATTCGAAATAAATTGGATTTATTTTAATTTATAATTGTTAATGCATTTGTTACAATATCATTTTCTTTTAATTAAATTATTAAGATTTTCTAAATATTTCGAGAAAATTCAAATTGAGAGTATTAGAATTGTTGTTAGTAGCCTGAAATAAAAAAAAAAATAAATAAAAATTTTTAATTTAATTAATAATTTCATAAATTGATTTTATAATATTTTAATTTTTTATAAATAAAATAATGCCAAATTACATTATTATAATTTTAATTTTAAATATAAATATGGGATCAAAAAACTCAGTTCATTTCAAGCGGCGATAAAAAAATTTTACTTCAATCACTGGATTCTATTTAAATGTCAATCAAACTTTTAGAATATTTGGCATAATATATTTTGACAAGAATAATTTCTACTGGACAACAACTTTTATTTGCCTTATATACAAAAACTAAAATATTTTATTGATTTTGTTATTTTAGCACAATTAGCATTTAGAACAAAAATAATAATAAAAATTGAAAACGAATTCCAGTCTATTTAATCAAAAAAAAAGGAATATCAAAAGCAAAATTAATATATAATCGCGATTTTGTGTCTACTAGACGTATCAATTTATTGGGTGAGCAATATTATTAGTCTGAAAGATAACGAACAAAATTTTGGAACACTTCTGAATAAAATTGTAAATTAACTAATCACAGATTATATAAAATCAATAATTATTATAACAATAAATTAAATACATAAATTAATTTTATTTTAACAGAATTATAAGGTTTACAAATTTTCATAATAATTTTAATAATAATTTTTTTATAACCTTTCACATTTATTTAGATTTTTTTTAATAAATTTTTTAATATAACACTTTAATCTTAAAGAACTGTGGCTTATTTTATTTTATAATTTTTGAAAATTCTAAGAAATAATTAATTTTATTTCAATATTTTTATTTAGTTCCCTTAAAAATCTATAATAAAATTGCTTCTAAGTTAACGTAGAAATTAAATTGTTAAAGAAATTAAATTAATTTTTTTAGGATAGAACATTTATTGTAATATGTATAACAATTTAAGATAAATTTTAAAAATTGTTAAAAATACCTCAGGTGTTCATTTGGTAACTACGGAATATGATAAAGAACGTTTCTAATTATTAGTCAATATTTTACTGTTTCAAATTTTATTATATCACTTTGTATATCACTTGTATGTTTTCAAAAATGACGGAATTTAATATTATACGAGTATACAGCCAATATGTAGGTATAAATATGTATGATTTGTATATAAAAATATTTTGATAAGAATTTAAATTCGAAATTTTTATCAAAATTTCCAAGTTTATTTTTAAATAATTTGTTTATTCACCATCCTTTTTTTTTTTGTTTTAGATATCTAATAACATTTGTTCTACATTATCACCAATATTAACAACACTAAACAAAAATATAATTCATGTTACCAAATTTTAGTATGATAAGGAAATATTTTGTTTTATTTTGAAAAATTGTATGAATGTTGTAAAAATTTTTAATCTAGATAAAAAAATTTCAAAGGAAAATAAATTTATTTTTAGGCGAAATTTATCAACTACCCGAAAATTATAAATATATCCGATTTTTGAATCATTTTATTAGAAAATTACTATTATACTACTAATAACTGATATATTAAAAGATTAGAGGACATATGTATATATTATGTACTCGCGTAAGAAGTAGCAGCCTACAAAATACTGTACTAAGAGATTTAAATTTGATTATTTTTGTAAAATAATCGAATAATCAAATCTGATTTATACTTGACTTAACTGATTTATACTTTTAATTTGAAATATAATTGTATACTTTTTACATTATAGGATTTTTTGTATTGATATAGTTTTTTACTTGTCAAACTTATTTTTGATTCTTAAGGTGAATTTCTATCCAATGTCCGGATTCCCGTTGGATAGTATATTTATTTAATTAATGATAGTATATTTCTAAAATAAATTAATTATTTACAATAAATACTTCCTCTAATTCCGAAGAATTGAAGTATCTAATTTTTTATTAAATACAAACTGTTCGGGTCTCCGACTAAAGAAATTTTAATTATATTTTAATAAAAACCTTAAAGTTTTATTAATTAAAGAAATTTTAATTATCTATATATTCTTCACTGAAAGTTAACCAATTTAACAAGAATAAAAAATTTTTAAGTAAAATAACAAAAGACTTAAAATGACGAAACAAATTTTCGTTAAAAATAACGAAACTATATTGACAGGAATAATTTGACATAATAAATTAATAATGAAAATTCTACTTAATTCAATTTGAAAAAAAAAAAAAATTAAATAAAGCAACGAAATAAGAATAATGGATGGGAAAAGGAAGTTTCGTTAAGAATAAGTTTAGTTAAAAATAACAAAACAAAATTATCAATCAAATTTTTGCATTATAAAAAATATTCAAATAGGAAAAAAAACACCTATAAGAATGACTAAAAGAAGTTTCGTTAAAAACAACGAAAGTAAATTGTCATCGAAATCTTTCTATATTATGGTACAGTTACACTAATTATGGTAACAACTTTAATAAATTTATTAGAAAATTTTAAATAAAATAAAATAATTTTACAGAACTGAAAATAAAGAATAAATAAAAGGTACATGTTACACAAATAAATGTGTAATTGTAGACATGAACTTAATCATGTACACCATTTCGGTGAAAACTATCCAATGGCTGATAAGATGAAATTAAACGAAGGAAACGATAAACTTTTCTTATCATCAAATTATAATTTAAATAAAAATATTATGTTATTTAAAAAGTTCATATTTATCAACTAAATTAATTCAAATAAAATTTTAAAGATAAATTTGACGTCAAATTTTAATTAACAAAATACATATATACATATATGCAAGTATATGTACTTGCGTCTTTTTGTGAAATTACTCTTGATAGTCGAATCCTAAGAATAATACCGTAACCTCTCTAATTTTATAGCATCGAATTAATTAGGTTTGAAGTTATGCAATATTTATATGGGCATAAGGAGATTCTCGTTTATTCACGCTGAAAATTTTACATTAGAACTAAAATTTCTAAGTGACAGCGTTAAACAGTATGCAAAAACTTTAGCTAAGTTTTTTTTTTTGTTTACCCAATTTACAAATTCTGAAACTTCTAAATTATCAGTCGTTCAAAAATAACAGAAATAACATTGTTTATGAAATTGTATCCAAACACTTTTCACCTTCCAATTCGTTGCAAAACAAAGAAATTTTAACAAGATTTATAGACTTAAAAAAAACTTAATATAATAACCCTTCAATATCTGAACTTGCCATTTCAATATCTGAATATTGAATTTTAAATTTAAAAAAAAACATTTAATGAGGCAGCGACAAAATTTATACTAGAGGTCTGCGCTATATTTCTGAAATTTCTTTATTACAAATTGAATTTCCGAACGCACTTTATTACAGTCAGTAATTTTTTAACGATCTATATTTTCGGTGTATGTAGCGTGAGTTTTCGAACGTACTATTAGCTAAAACTATTCTAGAATTGAATAAACGAAAACCCCCTAACTTCAAGTAACTGCAACATTTTGATTTGTCAGGATTAAACTTTAACATTTTTTCAAATTTGAAAGTTTTTAGAAGAAAACTTTAAGTTTTATAACATTTTAGAATATGAGTTATATCACAAAATCTTATGCTATTGAATTTTGCTGTCAACCACGGACTCACAAATCTATTATTAAAAAAATATTATTAAAAAATAACACTGAGTTCACAAAATTATTAACAAAAATAGCAGTTTTCAAGGAAACTGTGGACAAGATATAAAAATAATATTTTGCGCTTCCAGCGAATTTCTAAAATAATAAAATAATCCGATTTTAATCATTTAATTATAATAATTTTATTAGGAAATTACTGTTATACAATGTGCTATAACTGATTAAATTAATTATATTGATATGTTGCATTAATATGCTCTGGGTGCGATAGTGTTCACATAGAGAGCAACAATACTCATTTTCATATAGCTTAATAAAAATCATAAAATTTTTATACAAAATTTATTTGTATACAGTTAAGATTTTGAAACCTTGAAAGTATACTGAATATTATCGAGATTATTTTTGGTTGATAAATTTTATATACTCAAGTAATTATATACATATGATTTACATACATGTATGTATGTATTTGCCTCAAATATTTTATTTTATATCCTACAATTATAGGTATAATGTTCTCGAGAAATTCTAATTTGTTTATTGGTATAACGATAAGAAAATCTTGGAAAAATACATTTTATTTTAATATTTGATTTATAATTAATCGTAAGTTATAATCAAGGTATTTTTTATCACAAATGGAAGGAAGCGAGTATTAATAAGCACCGTTTACTGAACTCAACAATTTTTTGTGATAAAAATTTTTTTTATAATAAAATTAAACAATTTTATGAATAATCATTTAAGTGTTTCTAATTTCATATAATTCTGTTATATAATTGCCATCAAATTACTTATAGTTTCTGAAAATTAAAGAAGCATTTAAATTTTACAGTTTTTTTTTTTTATTAAATAGCATTGAAAAAAATTAACAAAATTATTGAACTTTCCCTTTTCAATTTATTTTCCATTTGAATAAATTTTAATATTTTATTATTAACAAATTTGTATAAAATACAAAATTATTTTACTTTTAGAAGCCATGCTTATGCATAAGTATTTATTGAACTAAGTAGATTAAGTTTCAATTGTTTGATACTCGTAAATTAAATTGAGTTTTATTATATTGTTCTCGAATTTTTGTTTAATAAGTACTCAACTAAATTTCACTTGAATCTACAAAATCAGGTAGTCAAATCTATAAATTACTTAAATCACATTCAATATATACGATTCATAAGGTCAATTATTTAGTATAACAATATTATCTGTCATAAATCTACTGTATATATAATAATTTAATAATTCACTTTTATTTATAACACTTAAATATTAATTTCGTTATATTGCAAATTCAAAAAGATAAAATATAATTTATAACATTAATTTATAAATTCATTTCTATTAAATAATATCTTTTCATTGGGTATATCCGTAGGGATTGTACGGGCGAAATTTA